AATATTAGTTACCAAAACTAAGCTGAAACCAAGCTGCTCAATTCTTATATGATAGCAGGTGGACAACGACAAATATATAGAAATGATTTAAAGAAACAAGCAGACAGTACCATTTGGTATTAGTTAGCCTCAGCTGATTCAGAATATCCTGCCGAACTTGAGGGGTAGCAGTAGCGGTCATAGCCATCATCGGTACTTTGGGAAAACTCTCCCTCAAGATCCTCAAATTCCGATAATCAGGACGAAAATCATGTCCCCACTAAACACACACACACACACCAAAGTTATGCCAAAATGTTGCCTTTACCTGACTAACACAATGGGCTTCATCAATCACAAACCGAGCAAGCATATTCCGCTGATAGAGGCTCTGCATAACCTGTTTCAATTTTCCAGACGCAGCAACCTGGAGAAAGAAAATGGGATCAAGGGGGTCATAAGAACTTACCTTTTCAGGAGTGACGAAGAGGATCTTAATCTCCAGCCTGTCTTTATGCATAGCAGTAAAAATGGAATCACATTCAGACGGAGACAAATCCCCAGAAAGACTAGCGGCTTTAGCACCAAGAGACTGGAGTTTATTGACCTGATCCAGAATCAGGGCTTTAAGAGGAGAGATAATGATTGTGAGACCTTCTTCAATAACTCCAGGAAGTTGATAGCACAGACTTTTTCCACCTCCTGTTGGCATAATAACAAAGCAGTCTTTTCCAAGCAGGGCAGCATTAATTGCTTGAAGCTGGTTGCGACGAAAACGGACAAGACCAAAAATTTCGGAGAAAGCCTTCATCATTTTAGCCGAGTGGGGAAAACAGTCTGTCCCATCAAACTCCCCAGTTGAACCATCATCAGGTTGATCTTTGTATTCGTGCACTTCTGTTGCAGTTTCTAGAATGGAAAAGTGGGAATTAAATAAATCCTTTTTAAGAAAAAAAAACAAATTTTACTCTCAACTAAGCAAATGCTTTTATTAAGGCACCTGGTTTTGCATTTTTAAATGAAAAAACCGTAGAGTGGAAACTTGCTCAATTGCCTAGTCATTTAAAACTTTGAAGCCTAGATATCAGTCTATCAAGGATCAGCTAATTAAATCACACTTCATTTCAAAAACATAGTTCGAGAGGAAATTCTGAGTAGAACGGAGACCCTAATTGAGTGCAAAGTGAAATACGACTTCCAATGATTACACAAATTCCATTTCTGGATGTTGTTGAACGTTAGAAGAATAAAGAAGAGAAATATATCAAGTTCGAGTTCGCCGATGTACACTTTCTTGTGTTTTTTGGCAAATTTGAACTGAGTTTTGAAAAAGAAAAGCATGACATTGTTATTTAAAATTTACAAACGAGTTTTTAGGAGGCAATAATTACAATCAATTCATAGGAAATAACTAGGTTCAAGGGCAATATCGTCAACATTTATGTCACTCTCCATAACTCATTCAGGAGTAAAGTGGCATTATGGAGCCTTGCAGGCGGATAAGAGTTTCGAATTCTACCCCACCCCCTCCCTCTTTGTAGTTGACTATTTCACTCACTAGGCGTGCGCTGATGGGAATCAAACAGGTGAAATGCATGGCGAACAATGGATAAATAAAGTCAACTATAATATCCAATAACACTTCCACTTTCCTCGAACAGTGATACAACCTACCCCATTTCGATTGATTGGTCCCCAGAGGGAGAAACACATTTCCTTCACCAGTATCCGCTTCAAGTTGTGGAGTTTTTGGTTTGGGTTGGGAAATTGATTCCACTTTTGGTGGAAAAGCTAATTTGACTTGATTCGTTGAGGAAATCGAAGTGCATGGCGATGGTTCCTGTTTCACGTCAGGGCAAAAGTTAAAATCATTCCAGTTACTAGTATTATCAGTCTCGAAATCATCGATTGATGAGAATAGGGGTGCAGGGGTAGAAGTACTGGGACGTTTTTCCTGGCGAGAAGCTTTCTCTTCCTGTTTTGAAGCCGCTTTTGCTTGCCATTTCTGAAAATCATTTCTAGCTGATAAAAGGTTTGTCAAAATGCTTGTTTTAGCACCAAAACAGCTAAGAAGTTTCTCAACATTCAGCGATTGAATAACATCGCAAGCTGAGTTAATGGCTTTAAGAAAAGTGGCGGGAATGGAAATCGTATCTTTTGAGGAAGAAGACGATGTTTTCTTCGATGATGAAATTGACTTTTTAGTTTGAGAAGTTTTTGGAGTTATGGGGGTAAAGACGGAAGAATTGCTGGAAGCTGAAGGAAGGGGACTCGAGGACTTCTGAACGAGGTTGGGTGTGAAGGTAGAATTTTTAAGAATCATTTTCAAGCTCGACCGAGGAGGAGATATAACAGGAGGTTTTGGAGTAGCGAATGCCTGAGTTGAAGTCGTATTGGGATTAAAAGATTCAGTTTGATCGATGAGACCGAAAACCTCAGATTCATTATTTAGCCAGGAGGGAGATGGCGGGTCACCAAAATCATCGAAACCATCCTCAGTCAATACAATTTTGGCACTATCAGTTAAGGCAGCAGGAGGTTTAGAATCCAATACTAGTATGAAAATAAATTAGACATCATAAAAGTTACCTTCACTGGTATCGTCATCTGAAAAAATTAAATCTGGAGATGGTGGTCGATGGGTTATATTATCCCCGTTTCTAAAGGAGATAAAAGAAAAGCAAATTTACCTTAACGGAATAACTTTTGTAGTCGGAATACATTTAGCTGGTTGATTTGAATTAATTAAAGGCGAGATAGCTGAGCTGACTGGGGTAAATAGAGCTTTGCGTAGTGGCTAATAAATTCTCTATCAAGTAAAACGATCTTGCCTACATTTGGAGTTACTGCAGGGGTGATGGTGTTCGAACATGAAGATCTCAGTGGTTTAAATGTGAATCTATAAAAATAAGGTAGATAATATACGTAACTCAAATATAGCAAAGTGAGTATTTGTTAAAGAAGCTTTACAAACGCAAACCCACTTCTTCTGCATTGAACCCATTCAAACATATGACCTATTTTCCCTTTTCGAATAGGTGCTGCAAAGCGAGTGGTTATAATGTTTATAATAAATGACCTGAGAAAGTACAATTTTCTGAAAATATCATCGTTATTTAACTAAACAGAAATATTAATTAAGACGGTGTATGAAATAAAAACTTCATTTTTTGTGTTTTCATCATTTGTTAGGTGTTTCATTTAATAACCTTTAGATTTATTTTTATTTAATAGACCATGATCCCTTACATAGTAATTCCATCTTTAAATTTTCATCATGTCTAATTAAAAGTATAATAAAGGGATAGTATATTGCCTAAAATTTAACTATTTACCAATGGGAATTTCACACATTATCTGCAATTGCTCGGATTCATTGATTTTTTAAACATTTCATGCATTTTTTAATGTTTTTTTGGTTCAAATTGATAGCATATGCCTTCAGCTCTTATTTTCATTTGTAAAATTTTGAATTATTTAAGTACGAGTATTAGTGCTTCCAGGTTATATTTCCAGCAATTCATATGCTTAATCCGGAATGGTCCAAAGCGTTGTTGAATTCATACAGACCTATATTGCTATAACTCTCATTTTGTGCGATGTATTATAATTAATTCAAGCCTCAGTTCATTAATTTCAATACATCAAATATCTCTTTATTCTGGTATGTGCTATAATTCCATTCTTGGTTTATTCTTGAGCACAGTGGATCACTAATTTGCATAAGTGTGACTAACTGATGTTTCTTTTGACTATGCAATTTCCATTATTTTATAAAAATAATTATGATATCAAACATGCTCCACATATTTACATTGATTAATTGAAAATCTCACTATACCCATCGCCCGATATTTCCTTTGATGGTCATTATTTGGTATTCAAATAGTTAGTACGTATGGATTTCAAAAATATTACTGACTGTCAGAGAAAAATGATTCATCTCTCTGATAGACTAGTGATTAAGGCTCGTAGCCAGGAACATCTCCCTGTTAGGGGCCCATTTGGCCATATGAGCCACTAGAGAGAACTCGTGCTCCGACGTCGCATTGCTTAGCATACCGATTTATAAAGTTAGGGGTTGCAATTGCAATACTGATTGGGGAGCATCCATTGAAAAGAATGAAAAATGCACAAATTAAGTTTGGCTAATAAAGGATTCGAAAAGTTCAAGCTTCCCACCAGCTGGTCCAATGGTGATTCTCCCAGATCCAGGATGATAATCGTAAAACGATTTCGTAAATGGGCATGTGATGGCAGTTGCCAATCCTTCTCAATTTGAGGTTTCATATTGCTATAACCCACTTAACAATATTCAGAACTAGAACTATTACCACTTTAGCGATATCTTGGTTCTCGGACAAGAGTAATGTGTTGACAACGTGTGTAATGCCTCTGTTAATTAAGAAGGTGCCTTAGACCAACTGCCTGCATGTCTAATCGTTCTTCCTTTCGGAGTTTGAATCAATTGTGGTCAAGCAATATCTAATAGCAGCACTACACCCTCGAGGAGTCCTAATGCACAAAGCGGGAACTAATGATATTGCAGCTAATCGAAATTCGATGAACCATTCTACAATTTTTGTTGTGCTTGTCCTTTTCCAATCAATAGCCATTAGCGACAAGATTTATTACTATACCGTTAATATGTTTGTATTATTTCGATAAATTTATAACGAATGATTAACTATATCATTTTATTTAATCTATGGATTTATATTGGCTATTTTTAATAAACCAGCTTTCCTTTCAATATCCGCCAAATACTTCTCTGGTATTCCAGCTCTCCTGCAAAATAAATAAGATTAAAAATAAATCGATATTAATTATTTATATTCAAATAAATTTAGAATATAAAGAATTAGTACTAAATGGTTCGAGTGAATATGACTACTATAAAATATATAATATATCAATATAAACAGTTCAGACAGACCTCAATTCTTCCATTTTCCGGTTCTTTGCTTCTTGAAGTCGCAAACGTCGAAGCCTGGCTTCTTCCTCACTGCGAATGCCTTCCTCGAAGAAGGCATTTCTTTCAGCAATGCGTCGTTGCTCCTTTTCACAAATTTGTTTCCTTAATTCCTCACTGCACTCTGCCTTCTTCTTTTGACGTTTTTCTTCTTCCAGCTTTTCTTTCTCAATCATTTCCTTCTGGTGTCTAAGGAACACAAGAGATTGGATCATTTACATATTACAGACAAAAACTAAGTACACGCATTTATTCACTACGGATAGCTTATCATAGATGTGCTTTCTTTAATTACAATCCATCACATCTAACTGGTTCTTTAAAATTTTAGTAGCAGCCCCGTAATTCTTATTGTCTGTTAAACGCTGACAATTGTTGACGAAAACGATCTTAAAAAAAAAGTAACGACTTACAAAACTGAGAAAAAAATTATAGGCATTGAAAAAAAATTAACATACGCAGACAGATAAAAGTATGAAAGCTAACCAAAGTAGATGGTTGTAGTTACCGAAGTACGCGTTCAAACTCCATTTTATTACGAGTTGCTTCAATGGCCAAAAGTCGTGTCTTATACTGGTCTGCCTTGATTTTTTCTTGCTTCATCTCCTCTTTCGCAGCCTGAACCTTCCTGGCAGCTTCCAATTCCTTCCTTCTCCACTGTCTTTCACTCTCCTCCATGGCACGTTTCGCCCGAAGAGCATCTTTTTCTGCCTGATTGTCAATAGCCCGTTCCTGCATTCCATACAGACGGTTAATTTCGAGTTCTTTCTCCTTGCGGATACGCAGTTGTTCAGCCTCTATGGCCGCATCGCGTTCCTAATGTGAAAACAGAGTTAAAGAACTGTTAAAAGTGGAACGGTAATTGTAAAAAAATACTTTGACCATGCACATTTCATATAACCATGAGTAAATTTTACATCAATGGATAATTTTAGCAGCAGATATCAATATGTAGAAGTAGGAATGCGGCTAGATACAAAGAGTAAGTGTAGTGGCCAATTACCTCCCTTCCCAAAGTAATGTCAACGAGATAAATAGGCTAAGCTGTTGCTTTTCCACAACTACAAAGGGGAAGCCCACAGAGGTTTTAGCACAAATTTGTTTGGAGAGAAGAAAGAGAAGACGTAAGACCTGTCTCTGAAACCTTGTTCATTTAAAAGGAGGGAGAGAGTCCATCTGAACTTATTAGATGACGGTAAAACCAATCAACATGGATCATATGCTGAACAGTTTGAAGATGGCAGTAATCTGGTTTGAATTGATAAGCAGCTGTGAATTATCATGTGTTTAATTCTCACCTTAACTACATAGTCGTCTACAGGAAATGAAACAGTAAAACTGAAATGCCCAAATCATTTATATCCTTGAGATTCTTATGTTTACCTAAGAAAAACCGTTCAACAATACAGACAATGTTAGCTCCAAAATGAAATGATTATGTTAAATGAACAAATTTTTTGTCTATTAAACACGAAAATACGTGGAACATTTAAAAAAGACTTACTTCCTTAGCTCGTTGCTCCTGTTGAACTTTTAGATCCAGTTTTCTATCGTCTTCTGCTCTTTTCAATTTCATTTCACGCATGAGATCAGCATATTTGTCCAATTCTTTCCTAAACTCGTCTTGCTTCGTCTGGTGATTAACACGACGACTCATTTCATCTAACATTTCTTCAGCAATCTTCCTTCGCATAAGCATATTCTCCTGTTCTGATTTCGCCAGAGCGAGAAGTCGATCTTGTTCGTTTTGGTTTATTTGCTTTATTATCTCACAGGCGCCCAGCATTTCCTTGGATAAATAAAAACCCCATGTATGCCAAAATAACACAAAGATGAGAACATTATATTTAATTCTAGATTTAAAAATTGAAAATTAAGCTGACTAGCATGTGCTGCCTAAAATGTACTTTTCTTGATAATAAAATAATATTCTGTGGATGATTATATCCTTAAAACCATTGTATAAGCAACACCCACAAAAGGGTAGTAATTCAAATAATAATAATAATAATAATAATGCTAATCAATAGATTTAAAACACTTGGAAGGGGACTCTATTCACTTCTTCAGGACAACTGAGGCCACTAAATAACTTAGATAACCTATAGAGTGGCAAATGATTGGTCAACGCAGTTAACTAATTCTGTTAAAAGCAAATGCTTAAGGGTTTAGCGGTAAAAGATGAAGCGTGGGTACCAGACACCACAAACTGATGATTATAATCTCAATTATAAGATACATGCCAAGGCAAGATTAAAAAGTTGTGGGTTAAGTCCAAGAGTTGGCATACTCGCCAATAAAATAGTACTAAATCCTGCTAGTACCACTACTAAATGTCACTCGCCTGAATAAGCCCAAAAATCCTCTTTTAAATATAATAACATTAATATTGGACAAATTGATATGAAAAAGAGGAAGAGGGGAAGGGAAAGTTAGAAAAATCGGGAATAAGGAGAGAGGGGAAAAGCTTCAGTATGGAGCAAGTGGAACCTGAGCTTCTACCACGGTTTGGTAGGCGTCGTGAGGTTTCCCGTCCGTTATTCGCTGATGATCAAACAAACAAAAACTTAATCTGAGAGTTAAAGCGCACAGCGGAATGAGCCAGTGGTGACCATTATATAGAGACCAAGCTGATTAATAAATAATTGTTTCCATATATGTGTGAATCTCGGAGTCTTTAACTCTTTCCAAATTGATATGAGATTTAGATTTAGTGAAAATGGATAAAAAGTAAATCGCTAAGCAGATGAGCACTTTGTGTTAATTTTTTTTCTTCACTCATATACCATCAATTGTTTTACTATCATTTTTATCCAAAAATCATTCCATTATTTAAAGATGGTAATTTTGTCTCGTAAATGATAGAAATCAACGAATACGTAAAAGTATTAGAATTTTGAGCAGCTTTATAATGAAATACAATGAATTTCGAATCATTCTGTGGCTATTAAGGGGCTAGATGGACTAGACGGAACATATAATAATTGTCATATTCACCTTAAATCAATTGAAAACCCGTCTAAAAATACAGTATTGAATATTATTAAAATATATCTTGGTAGACGCAATTATCCCCCTAGAGCAAAACGCTTTGGTATAAAAAATGTTTAGAAAATAAATAAATATAAGATATAACATATATTCAGTTACCTCCTCCTTTCTTTTGGCTTCAATGGCAGCTTGAACTTTTAGGGCATTCTGCCGATCAATTTCCATCATTCTATCTAGTCTATCATTCTCCTCCGCCATCTCCTTCTTAATTTGCTCCTTCTCGAGCAGCTGAGCGTCTCGAATGGCCTGAATCTTGGCATTGTTAATGGCTGCATTCAGCTGTTTAATCTCTTCCTCTTCATTCTCACGCTGTTCCATAGCTTTGGCGAGAAGATGCTGTGACTCCTTACGAGCTGCTTCCTCCAAATCGGTCAACTTTTCATTTACTCTACGTTCCATATCGAATTTCTTCATCTCTTCCACTCGTCGCGCAGATTCTTGCTATATAATTTAAAGGATTTTTTTCAGAACTATTATAAAGTTTGAAAGACCAAAAGGAATATAACATAAGGAAAAAAAACGTGGACCTTTAAGTCAGTAGTAGCATTAAAATAACTAAAAAGCCATAGAAGTGGAAATTAAATTCTGTGTTCTAGTTAAGGAACGTTTATTTGATCGCATAAATATCACTAACTATTTGGAAAACAGTTTTCCGATATGCTTAAACTTTTTAAATTGTTGTACCAATAATTTCCCAGATATATTGAAAGAAATATGTATTTCTGCAATCCATAATGAAGATACTACTCGCTAAATTATCATTAATGTGACAACTGATGATGATTTCCGCTAAAAATTAATCTGCTTTTAATCATTATTTGCAAACAGTTAAACAATCATTTTGACAGTACATTTACTCCCACGTTCAGATAGGTTTTGAATAAAATTTCGAACAGAGTATTCGAAGTGTACTACGAAAGACAACAATGAAAGATATTTCTTTCAAATGGTATTGCTGCCCAAAATAGCAAGTATAATAACTAAAACGATTATAAATTGAAAGATAGAATATAGTTTAATATAAGTTGTTAACTTACCACCAACTTTTCCGCCAATGCTTTTTCACTCAATTCCATTTCCTTAAGTTCCTCTTCCGACAATACGTGGGCCCTGTTTTGAATACACTGCATGTCATCTTTCGATAAGAATATAGATTTCTCATGCCGTTTTCCTGGTTCAAGCCTTTAAATAAATAAGCTAGTGCTTTACCATAGCTCTCTAGGTCTATCCCGCTCGATTAACAACTTCATAGTAGATTTGCCGTGTAGAAGTTTTTTTGGGCAATTTGAACGATTGCTAAACACATTAATTTGAACATCATTTTCTTTTAGATTATTTATTTCATTGCGATTTAGAGCCTGATTTTATCTCGATCAATTAAAGGCATACCTTTATTCTTTTAAGGCGTTCGGGTTCACCAAATAAACTTTCATCAATTACAGAACATCCACTGACCTTGCGGTAATTGTAACCCTTCTGACTATTTGATTTTTTTGCTTTGCAAAATTGCTCATTGCTTTTAATACAACTAGACTAAATATTTAAAAACTAAATAAGGAGAATAAAGTAAATCTCACCATTTCAAAATGATGTTGCTATGTAAATTACGACCAAGGCCATTAGTTTGAAAGCGTTAAAGATAGCACATCGTCAAAATTTTAATTTTCCTAGCATAAATTTATTTAAAGCTAAATAATATAAACGATAAACGATTCTTTGAAACGCAAAATGAATATATTTTGTAATTGTAGTGGGCTCTACAAGAATCACTAAGTAGGAACATAGTAAAGTTTGCAAATCATTACCAAAAAAACTTTATGGCAATGAACAAGTATTTTACGGAAATTTATTTAGAGGTTTCTTGAATTAAACTTAACTTTCTTATAAAAATAAATTTGATTAAATTACTTAAGTTGGATATTTTTCAAAATTGACTGTCCTTATAAAATTCCTGTGTTAATATTTATAATTCTCAGAGCGCATTACAAATAAGTAACCTCATTTAGATAAAATAGGTTATCCGCTTCCATTAGTTGACCATTTGAGTGACACTGATAGGACGACAGTTATAAATGCTTCAGAATTTAATTTATAGATCTGATTTGGCTTGCTACCTTTTGATAGCGGTATACATTAGATAATTCAAAGCACTGAAATACTAGTGAAACCGAATAAGTTTAGATTAGCAGAAATAACTAACTTACTTTTAGTGAATCAGATTTAATACTGAAGGGAAGATATTATTCGTAGAACAGGGTATTTTAATGGAATGTCCGACGTAACATTGTTAAGTTGTTATATGTTTTTAATGTTTCCTTAATAAATTTTTTGCCGCATCATTACGAATAAGCTGGATTTACAATAACGATAAACACCATGTGCCATCCACCGAATAGAATTGCTAGTATATTTTAGTACATTTACTGTTATATTCGGTCATTTTTATCTAAATTCTGCCTTCGTTCTTTTCAGTGGAAACCACGTCAAGAATTCTAGCTTTGGCATGTTTAAAGACAGAATTTAATCTTAATGACTGAATGAAAAACATCTTTATTTTATCGTCTTAAGAAAATCGAGATAGGTTAAATTAAAATGCCCTCTCCGCAGTTAACCCTAAGAACTTGAAGAAGGGATTCACGCCAACGCTTTGCCATATAAGGTAACAAAATTCTGGGTGTTCGCTTATTTAAGCAAAAGAGCTATTAACTTCAGGGGTGACATGTGTTTTTACTTGCTTATCAAACTTAATTTTCGTCGTTTGATAGTGGCTATTTAAAGAAAATCTGCAATAACAGCCATTGATCTATAGTAAGAACATAATTGATATCTCTCATACTTTAAGGCAAAATATCGGAAACAAGGACTCACAAAGGATCGGATTTAAATGAAATTCTATAACTCCCATCCCCCCTCTCATTAATAATCCGCTTTTAAGAGCCTAAAATTAAGAGCATCCATACTCTTTTGGTCAATTAACTATGAAGTTTTTATTACATTTGCAGTAAGTCAGCAAACTTGTCTTTCACAAATAAAAAATTATATTGTGTAAAAAATTTTGAAGAGAAATTTATTCAACACACTGATCGGTTTAGATCAAATTTAAATTAGGGAAAAAGTGAAAATTCAAGTTTATGAAAAATAAATGTGAAGCACATTAGGAATATAAACAATGATCAAGGGACGATGTGAATACAATAAAGAAATATTTGAAACTAAACTTAATTATGTGTATAAATAAATTCATTTAAAGGCCATTCAAACTTTACACTCTGTGTTTCTCCTCTCGGTTTCATTTTGATCACCACTGTAAATTTTAATCTCAGGCAGAAAGATTCTTCGATTTGAGGAGCTTTAAGGCTAACACATTTAAGATATTATTTAACAAAACCCTATGCTTGAACTTTATTCCAGAAATCATCCATCCCCATATTAGAATGAGCCAGCCCTTCTCGTATCCAAATTAACCAAAATGCCACATATAAATGCATAGTATTGAATTTGAAGTGGAAACAAGCAGACAATTTGGCAAAGCTTTTACGGGGATTGTAAAGATATACTGCTAAAATTAGCCGCAATTATTCGCTCTCTGGTCTGCCAAATTAACACACAGATGCATGTGCCTATAAATAACCCATTAAAAGCAGATAGTATTGATATTATTCTCCCAGGAGATAGGAGAATTTTTCCTATGCTGATTTTCGTATTGATTATTAGAACATTACAGTGTCAGTTAAATGGTTTATTGGGTTGTCTCCCTAAAAAAGGGAAAATACTAACAACGAGGCACATTTGTCTTGGCGGCATTGCGTGCCTTTTATTTAGATTACGCAGTGGGGATAATTGCACTCAGACGACCTTGAATGTCAAAATAGCTATTTTGCATAACCAGAAGAACTACCATTGTCTATCATTGACCAACAACAAAAGGGTAAACACACCACATATTTACTAAACAAGAAGATAAAATGAGAATCAAAACCCATTCATTAGGAAGGGGGGGGGGTGGTAGGAGGAGGGAGAGAAATGACGTTTCCCCACAAAAGAGAGGAAATTGATCACACGGCCTTTGCATTGGCCTTTATCTGAATCGTCTGAAACATTTCTTCCTTATTTCGAGTTATTCGAACTAGTTGTCGGATAAAAGATAGATCATGATGTAAGAAAACTCAAGGAGATGTGGCGTTTCAGAAGCGCAGTGTCCAAATGCTATTGAACGAACTGTTATGAAGAAAGACACAGGGTCAAAAGATAAAGATAATCAATCTCAACTCTAGCCTATTTGGCAAAGGTCCTCAGAGATTACGGAAGGTTACAGAAGGCAGAGAAAGCCAGCATTAAGGGGTTGTGTTATGTAGAATCTATGCGTTTTTAAGCTTTACTCTTTGGTAACACTAACATCAGCTATAAATTAACTTACAGGCGATGGGAAATGAGGATGCGCTTAAAAGCATATCTGATTGACAGTAATTTCAAGTAGACTTCAGGGAGTCCATCTGATTTGTTTAAAATTTGATTTGATTCTTGGCTACGTATTTCGACATAAACTTTTCAATAATCACAATGCCTGAATAATACTGCTATATATCTAGTTTATATCCAATTGGGCAAGCCTTCTCCAATTTATTGGATCTATACACCTCTCTACCTCAGTACCACTATTAAATAAATCGATTCCCACATGTCAGAGGGCCTATATTAAATGCATCCAATAAAAAGTAATCGATTATAGCCTCAGTCTAAACATAAATGACGGCTTAGTATTCTTACATCAAGCAATTTGAAAGCTTTTAGTAAATTGTCGGCTGTTCTCCTCATTCAAATGATCCTGGTCACTTTTGAACTCAGTAGAACAATTATCAGGTCCAACAGAGGAACTACAATTGTGGGTGTGTTGACAGTTAGCACAAGTGCACAGTAGTAGCTGCCAGACTTGTCTGATTTATAATAACTTGCAAATATTTCAATTTTATATGGGAAAAAAGGGGAAATCTGTAATGTATAGGATAATTATTTTGCAATTTCATTTGATCAAAGATTAAGGTGGTGATACGAATTACATCTATTGGAAAAGTAGTGACTTACTTAAGTGCGATAGACTTACCTCCACGTGGTGCACTCTGGGCAAAGTATACACATACGGCAAAAAAGTCTATTAACTGGCAGTTGACTTCTCACCTCAAACTACCATCACCCCACTCTATGTCATATTCCACTACTTCTATAGTACTCACCTCATCTTTTTTCTACCTTTGTGTCTGTCTGCCTCTTTTACATCTTTGAAACACTCTTCTGTTCCCCCTCCCCTCTCAACTTTTTTTCAATTTGATGTAACTACCCCTCTGTGAAGCCTGAAGTCAACTAAAGGGCTAATGATAACCTTCAAGACGCCTGCCATTTAAAACAATAATAATAAAAAACTTAATTGCAGAAAAAAACGTAA